AGTGTTTGCCACAAAGTCTTTGGAGATCTCCTGATTCCAAAGTGGGATTGGGGGGCTGGGTAAATAATAAATGGGACAAAAGGCTTAGAGTGAAGTCTAGGAAAGGGCAGGGCTTACCTATGATCTCTTTTTTTATAGAGGACATAGGCATTGAAAATTGCAATCTGGCTCACGTAGATTTCAATTTTCTTGTACCAGGTCCTAGTTTTCCGGTTCACTAGATAGGGCTGTATGCATTGGTCAGCCAAGTCTACTCCCCCCATAAACTTGCTGTAGTCTACAATGCACTTCGGCTTTTCCAGATGCTCAGTGCTACCTCTCACAGACACTGGCACTGTACTTTCGTCGTGCATCGTAGACAGCATGTATACATCTTTCCTATCTCTGAAGCAAAGAGCAAGCAACTCATCCTGGCGGAGAGCTGAAGAGGAACCTCTACTGCTTCTGCCTCTTGCAAGGGTTTGGGGGAAACCCCTGCGATTCTTCCTCACTGTGCCACAGGCTAGGGTTTCTAAGCAATATACATTTTTAAATAATTCTATATTGGTATAATAATTGTCAACCCATAGCCTATATCCCTTATTCAACAAGGAAAGGATTAGATACCAAACAATCTTTCCACTTGTACCCACAGAATCAGGGCATCCTGGTGGGTCAAGATGGCTATCCTTCCCCTGATAAATGCGAAACGCCCATGTGTAACCAGTACAGGATTCGCATAATTTATCAAATTTAACGCCATATCGGGACCGCTTAGATGGAATGTATTGCTTAAATAGCAGTCGACCTTTGAATTTCATAAGGGACTCGTCAATTGAAATATCTTTATCGGGGACATAATTTTCAGAAAATTTGTCTGACAGGAGTTGGATAAAGGGACGAATTTTATAGAGCCTGTCAAACAGTGGGTCATTTTTAGGGGGGGACAGTGAGTTGTCATTAAAATGAAGGAATCACAGCAGTTGCAGATAGCGATCCCTCAACATAACATCAGGGAAAAGAGGGGTAGCCAGGATGCGTTGCTTGCTCCAGTAGGACCTGATACTGGGCTTTTTAACTATACCCATCACTAGGGTTAAAGCCCAAAACCGCTTCATCTCTGCGACATCCGTGGGTCTCCACATATTCCTGCGATTATGATGGGATCCCGGATGTGCAGAGAGATACTGCATAGCAAACAAATTTGTTTGCTGAGCCATGAGCTCAAATACATTGTCCGACATAAATAGCTCAAAAAAACGAATTGGCTCACAGTCGTCCACTGTAACAGTGATGCCAGGTGTAACAGTGAACGGCGGTATTTCTGGTGCCATCATGTTTGAAGGCACCCAGTCTCCCTCTGGCATTGGGCATTCTGAGCGTCCTCTTGTGAGTGGTGGTGGGGCACCATCACTTGAGGTCTCACTCAGAGGCTCAATGTCAGAGGCAGTGATAGTGTCACTGTCTTGCAGAGTGTCACTATCATTGCATGCCAGAATGGCATAGGCCTCCTCGGCTGAGTAGCGACGTGCCATTCTAAGGGGACAAATTAATTTATATACTAAGGGGGTAATTAATTATCTACCTGCCTAACACCTACTACCCGCCCTCAAAAAATAATATAAATGTACTGATCACAGTATAGGCAGCTGCAATCAGTACACTGAAAGGGTTATTTTTAGATCCGTAACAATAACCCTAAAAAAGGTCAGTCTGATCAGGGAGCCCTCTGATCACAGTGATCACTGATACAGTACTGTACAGCAGATATACTGTACAGTATAGTGATCACGGCACCGGGGAAAGGGTTAAGGGAGATTTGGGTTGCTGCGACTGACACAAAGGGTAAAAAATAATTAATTCTAAAAAAAAATAGTACTAAATTCCCTGATCAGGTTGATGACAGTAATATGCTGTGATCAGCACTGAAAGGGTTAAATAAAATAATTTTTTATAAAGTTTTAAAACTTTTTTTCTTCACAGGAGCTGCTACACCAACGCTCTCTCTCAGATCCAAGTGACAATGTGTCAGCCAGTGATCTGAGATCATTGGCTGACACATACTAACAGTGATCACAGTGACTGGCTGTCACTGTGATCACCTCCTACAGATCGCGGTAATTGGCCACAGGGGGAGTGCCTGGGTGGTAAATTGCATGCCCCCCACCGCGATCTGTAGGGGCTGATGGCTGCAGTTACATAGTAACACTGATCACACTGACAGGCTATGGCAGCCTGTCAGTGTGATCAGACTGCAGCCTGACTGAGCAGATCACGGTCACTGACCGCAGGGGGGCTGCCTGGGGGGCCCGGCATGTCCCCCGACTGCGATCTGCTGCAGGAGAATGTGGCCTGCTCCATGTGTCAGACGATTTCAAATCAGCTGACACATGGTAAATACCGATCGCAGTGACAGCCTGTCACTGTGATCAGAAGCTGCAGACCGCGGTCCCCGGGCACAGGGGGGCTGCTTGGGGGGCCAGGCATGCCCCCCAATCGCGATCTGCAGCGGCCATGTGCTGCCGGCCACGTGGGGGGTAAGACCGCCCAGGGCGTTCTATGCCGCCCTGCGGCGTTTAGAGCCGGCCAATTAAGGATGGAATAGAACGCCCTGCGGTCTTAAGGGGTTAAACTTTATTTTATATATATATATTTTTTTAATGTATTTATTGATTATTTGTATTTTATTTATATACATATATGTTTATATTAAAAATACACCTACAATGATAGTGTGTATGTATATGTGCATATAAAAGTACTTGGATCATATATATCTATATAGATAGATAGATAGATAGATATAAAACAGTCCACAAGGAAAAGGTTTCTAGCACTTGTTTGCAGTATGAAGTAGGCAGCTAGAACAACCCAAACCTCTTCTTTCTGGTCTCAGATAATTACTTGTAGAATAAAAGGGAGAGGGAAGCAGCATCTTAATGGTGTCAACCAATCCAAATTCAGTTAGGTGAATATGTAAAAGAGAGGAGGATAAAGTGTAGAATATAGTTGTAACGGAGCTCCCTGTTCCCCTGGCTGGGTACCTCCTAGCTGGAACAGGGGACAAACAGCAGCACTTCTGCCCACAGTCGCTGTAGCTTGACTGGGGCCCTGGAACTGCTCCTTCCTGGAGCCGAATGGGGAATTTACTCAAGACACCCCCAGGCACTGGACGACACTCAGTCTTGGGAGCTCTAGTCCTTACAAGGACTTTCCCCAATGAATCCCCTGCAAGCTGGAACAGCAGACACAGGGGTTAAATCTTCCCTCCCTCCAATAACAGGACAACACACAGTTTTGGAGTGCAAGCTGGAATCTGTTTAATGGCAGCCACAACTGGCCTTATATGCATGTCCCCATCAGGAACTGTATTCATCTAATCCAATTATCTCCAAGCCCAGAAAAAAACATGCAATACAACAACACCCCAAAAGTACCCCTAAAACACATGGAAACCCCACAAAAGTGATACCCCCCTGATACCCCTGATCTGGGGGACCAACATATCGAAAAATCACCCATATCGGTTCAGGTGTTCGGGATTTCCATGGAAGTCATAATTTTGACCGACCATGTACATGGCCCTTTGCCCGAAACAGTTCCATGAAATCAGTGCTAACGGTCGGTCAACTTCGGTAGTCTTTTACAGGTTTCGCTGCAGGGCCCATAGTCTGTGGGCAGGAGGCTGGCAAGCAAGCTCCTTCAGGAGAAGTTCAGGAGAATTAAATAAAAAGTAATGCACTTAGCTTTCTGGAGCTGATACCTAGCTGCAAATGTATGTGCCTGGGCAGTAAAATCCCCGCCTGTGGATATACTTGGTGTGTTGATCCAATGGGGAAACTCCGGGTGGTAAAGAACAAAAACAAAAAGAACCAATATAGTGTAATATGTTTAAAACACCAGAATTAAAAAAAGTATTTATGTGGATGTGCATTCACAATTTACTGAGCCCACTATTGGCTCTTGATGCACATGTAATAAGGTGGTCCACAAACTTAGGTGTACAGGGGTTCCCACTCTATTGGTTTATATAGCAGCAGATTCTCACCAGAGATATGTACGTAAAACAGAAACCTCCAGGGGAGGTGTGACTAGAGTTGCATAAACAGAAACAACATTTATTTAAAGCGATACTAGAAGTGCCAGGATTACAAAGCCCCTGAAGTGACTCTCTGAGCCAATCACAATGCTTTCCTATAGAATTGGGTGAAACTGTCAAATGTGCAGCACTGCCCCAGGAAGCACCTCTTGCAGCCATCTGAGCAGTGGCCAGTGGAGGTATCACTAGGCTGTAATGTAAACACTGCATTTTCTCTGAAAAGACTGTGTTTATTGCAAGAAGTCAAAAGGAAATGATTGTACTCACCAGACCAAGTACAATAAGCTGTAGTTGTTCTGGTGACTACACTGTCCCTTAAATTATAATTATATGGTTGTGGCAAACTCTCCTTTTTACCTGAGTTAGCCAGGAGCTCCTGGAGGAGCCTGCTTGCCTGCCTCCTGCCCATAGACTATGGGCCATGCAGGGAAACCTGTAAAAGACTACCAAACTTGACCAACTGTTAGCACTGATTTCCCTGGAACTGTTTTGGGCATGGGGGTATGCTTGCAGTCCGTCAGTCTGTCAAAACTATGACTTCCAGGAAATTCTTGAATCCCTGAACATATCTGGGTGATTTTGGAATATGTTGTTCACCCAGATCGGGGCTATCATGGAATGTTTTGTGTGTTTTATGGGGTTTTGTGTGTTTTTAAGGTACTTTTTGGGGTTTCATAAAATTGTATGTTTTGTCTGTGCTTGGAGATAATTGAATCAGATTAGTATAGTTCCTGATTCAATTATCTCCCAAGCACAGAGGAGGGATTCTATTGTTTGTGTATGGGAGTGTCTCACTGTATGACTCTGTTTTTATTTGTTTGTTCACTTTGTGTCCCTGTGCCCAACAAGGTCCACCTCCGTTACATTGGTGGCAAGCGGTGGGATGGCTTCCTAGCCTTGGGAAAACCAGCACTACTGTAGTATGGAAGGCAAGTACTGCCGGGCAGTATCCGGCTTCGATGCCAGACTCCAGCAGCGACTATGGGATGTGCTGCACAGTATGGAGTACCCTATCCCAGAGGATAGAGAGACAGAGTGGAGGGTGGCACTTCGAACAGATCTCTGGAAGGAGGACATCAACGAAATTCGACCCTTCCGGAGTGAGAAAAACCTGACCACCGACCAGCGACAAGCGGAACAGCTAGAGCTGTGGATGCCATTCCTAGGAGACCAGACCTCAGAGGAATGGGTAAGAGAACTGGAGAGGCTTGTCATGACAAAAGTATGGTTGGATGAATCATACTAGGCCCTGCAGTGGCATACATTCATTATCCACGCGGGGCGGGTCAATCTCCAATGCATTTAGGGAGAGGACTACGACGGCCCTGGTCTTTTGTGGGAGGTTTTTGAAGATGGTATGGCGTTAGGAGACCCAGACAGTTTCCGCTTCTGGTGCATACGAGATGAGTGGGAAGACATCTTGGATCTCATGGAGATAGCGGAAATGCAACCGGATCTGACTTTTCTGGCCACCCGTGACTGAGAGCTAAAGCAGGAAGACCCCCAGTTGGCAGGTGAAGAAGGGACCGAAATCTCTCCACCAGCCCTACAAGGATGCTGGGCAGCCGGCCCCGATCTCCAACCCCAGATATAGATGATACAGGGACCGGAGTGTGTCGTCCTTCCTCCCTAGTGGCAGAGTATGTTATTGGGAGAAGAGACAGTCAGACTCTCTCCCCAGCGGCAGAGTTTGTCACAGGGAGTGGAGTGTGCTGTCCTTCCTCCCCAGCGGCTGAGTGTGTTACAAGGAGTGGAGACAACCGGTCTCACTCCCCAGCAGCCGAGTGTATTACAGGGAGTGGAGACAACCGTTCCAGCTAGGAAGCGGTCCTTGGCGGAGGTACCCAGCCAGGGGTACAGGGAGCTCCGTTACAACGGCGTCTTCCATGATGCCTCTCAACAGGGAGAATACAAACATAGGATCCCTATAAATGTGTTATCCTATGTGAGTGAAGACCTAATAGGACCAATGTCCATGATCCCACTTGAGTTCTCTGCTAGACAAAATAACCAAGATCTCAACAAGCATTTCAGAGAAGATGATCTCTTCTTACTATTGTCTTTCTTTGTCTTTGGAATCTAAATTCATGTTCCCCTTTCCTACCCATAAGTGAATGTTCTAGAGGAGCTCAGAATATAAGATATGCTAATTTGTTTACGTATATAACTAAAAACGTTAGACCTATGTGCTTGTATGTTGAGGAACTTAACACTGTAATAATATTGTAGCCATATTGGTACTTGAGAAAATTGTATCTGGTGTATTGAATTATACGGGGACTTCCATGATTCCTCTCAAGAAGGAGAATATAAACATAGGATCTCTAAAAATGTGTTCTCTTATAAGACGTAACACCTAATGGGACCCACTTGGCTTCTCTGCTAGAGAAAAGAACCAAGAACCAAGCCCTTCAAAGAAGATGATATCTTGTTAGTATTGTCCTTCTTTGGAACGTAAAACGATGTTCCCCTTTCCTATCCTTAAGTCAATGTTTTATAGAACCTTCAAATATTTGGGTATCATAGAGTTCCACACCATTCATTATCATACTTCTTGCATTGATTAATATATGTGCCTATTTTGAGATGATGGTTAAGATGACTTCTATAACACTATTGGATCACAAAGGTTTTTTTTTTTATGTGTCTTGTTGCCCCACCCCCCATGTACCCTACACAGCCCATATGGTCATCTCTATGAGACGTGAAATGGTGGGAGCTAGGTCATAGACTAGTTCTAGCTCGAGCTCCACCGACCACGTGCTGGTCCTCCAGGCCGCTTGGGGCGCTGCGGCGCATGCCGTGTTGTACTCCGCACCACGCGGGGCGCTGCAGCACAGAGCAGCCCATGCCGTGACGTGTCCTCCAAGCCAGCAGGGGGCGCTGGAGCCCCCGCGATGTGTTGGATTTCTCCACAACGCGCGGGGCAGTGTGGTCTCCGAGTTTTGCCTCGTTCCTCCCGGCCACAGGGGGCGCTCCCCGCTCCCCGCACGCTCGCTCCCGGCCGCTGGGCGGCGTTGTTGTGTAACGCGTTGTGTCCCCGCGGGTGCTGCAGAGGCCTCTCTCTCTCTCGCGCTCTCGGCCGCTCTCCCGCCCCACACTGTGAGCTCGGTGACCCCGGGCGGACCGCAGACCTGGACATGGCAGCCACGGTGTCCCCGGTGGGCAAGCGACTGCGTCTGCTGTTTGACGAGACGGCCTCCGGCCGGGAGGGGAGCGCCGACCCGTCTACCCCGCTGGGAAAGCGGGCCTGGCAGGGCGGGACCGTGCGGGGCCTGAAGGGAGCGGTACCGGAGGAGCTGGCGGTGAGTGAGCGCCGAGTGAGCGGCCAGTCTGCTCTCCGGGCGGACTACACTGTCCTTCCCCAGGGTGTCCTCCTTACTACAGCCCGGGGATCGGCTGGGCCTCGTACCGATCAGATATTACCGTGTTTACATCAGATATTACCGTGTTTACATCAGATATTACCGTGTTTACATCAGATATTACCGTGTTTACATCAGATATTACCGTGTTTACACCAGATATTACCGTGTTTACACCAGATATTACCGTGTTTACACCAAATATTACCGTGTTTACACCAAATATTACCGTGTTTACATCACTCACATTAGATATTACCGTGTTTACATCAGATATTACCGTGTTTACATCACTCACATTAGATATTACCGTGTTTACATCACTCACATTAGATATTACCGTGTTTACATCAGATATTACCGTGTTTACATCACTCACATTAGATATTACCGTGTTTACATCACTCACATCAGATATTACCGTGTTTACATCACTCACATCAGATATCACTGTGTTTACATCACTCACATCAAATATCAGTGTTTACATCAAATATTACCGTGTTTACATCTCGATATCACTATTACCGTGTTTATATCACTCACATCAAATATTACTGTGTTTACATCACATCAAATATTACCGTGGTTACATTAGATATTACCGTGTTTACATCTCTATCCCTATTACCGTGTTAACATCTCTATTACCGTGTTTATATCACTCACATCAAATATTACCGTGTTTACATCACTCACATCAAATATTACCGTGTTTATATCAAATATTCCCGTGGTTACATTAGATATTACCGTGTTTACATCTCTATCCCTATTACCGTGTTAACATCTCTATTACCGTGTTTATATCATCAGATATTCGTGTTTACATCAAATATTACCGTGTTTACATCACTCACATCAAATATTAGATATTACCGTGTTTACATCACTCACATCAGATATTACCGTGTTTACATCACTCACATCAGATATTACCGTGTTTACATCACTCACATCAGATATTACCGTGTTTACATCGCTCACATCAGATATTACCGTGTTTACATCAAATATTACAGTGTTTACATCAAATATTACCGTGTTTACATCGCTCACATCAGATATTACCGTGTTTACATTGCTCACATCAGATATTACCGTGTTTACATCGCTCACATCAGATATTACCGTGTTTACATCGCTCACATCAGATATTACCGTGTTTACATCGCTCACATCAGATATTACCGTGTTTACATCTCGATAACACTATTACCGTGTTTATATCACTCACATCAAATATTACCGTGTTTATATCACTCACATCAAATATTACCGTGTTTACATCACTCACATCAAATATTACCGTGTTTATATCACTCACATCAAATATTACCGTGTTTACATCTCGATAACACTATTACCGTGTTTATATCACTCACATCAAATATTACTGTGTTTACATCTCGATAACACTATTACCGTGTTTATATCACTCACATCAAATATTACCGTGTTTACATCTCGATAACACTATTACCGTGTTTATATCACTCACATCAAATATTACCGTGTTTACATCTCGATAACACTATTACTGTGTTTATATCACTCACATCAAATATTACCGTGTTTACATCAAATATTACAGTGTTTACATCAAATATTACCGTGTTTACATTACATCAAATATTACACCGTGTTTACATCACATCAATATTACCGTGTTTACATCGCTCACATCAAATATTACCGTGTTTACATCGCTCACATCAGATATTACCGTGTTTACATCGCTCACATCAGATATTACCGTGTTTACATCGCTCACATCAGATATTACCGTGTTTACATCGCTCACATCAGATATCACCGTGTTTACATCGCTCACATCAGATATCACCGTGTTTACATCGCTCACATCAGATATCACCGTGTTTACATCGCTCACATCAGATATTACCGTGTTTACATCGCTCACATCAGATATTACCGTGTTTACATCGCTCACATCAGATATTACCGTGTTTACATCGCTCACATCAGATATTACCGTGTTTACATCGCTCACATCAGATATTACCGTGTTTACATCGCTCACATCAGATATTACCGTGTTTACATCTCGATAACACTATTACCGTGTTTATATCACTCGCATCAAATATTACCGTGTTTACATCTCGATAACACTATTACCGTGTTTATATCACTCACATCAAATATTACTGTGTTTACATCTCGATAACACTATTACCGTGTTTATATCACTCACATCAAATATTACCGTGTTTACATCACATCAAATATTACCGTGGTTACATTAGATATTACCGTGTTTACATCTCTATCCCTATTACCGTGTTAACATCTCTATTACCGTGTTTATATCACTCACATCAAATATTACCATGTTTACATCAAATATTACCATGTTTACATAAAATATTAGTGTTTATATCAAATATTACCATGTTTACATCACTCACATCAAATATTACCGTGTTTACATCACTCACATCAAATATTACCGTGTTTACATCAGATATTACCGTGTTTATATCTAGATATCTCTATTACCGTGTTTATATCACTTACAACAAATAATACCGTG